TTTACACTCCATGGTTGCGGTTTCGTTATGACCAATGGCGAAACGGGCGTTCTGAAGGGCGCTAAATTTGAATTCTTGAACACTCGGTGAAGTGCAACGGTTGAAATGAAATATACATAATGGTTCTTAGTTACGATAGAAATTTTTATCATTGACCTTAGACCAATTATATAACATATACATAGTGGAAAAAAAGAAATATAAAAAGTATAAAAAAATATAATTTTTACAAAGTGGAACATCTTGAGAATGCATTAACGATGCTCTAAAGTAGAAAAGAAAGAGTAATATTTCTCAGTAAAGAAAATTAATTTAAAAATTCCCTCAAATGGGTCTATTTCGGCCCGATTTTTTTATTCTACTCAAGTGAAACTTAATGTTATACATGGAACTGTACTCTGAAAGATCGGTCATTCCGTTTACTCGTCGTCCGATGTCCTCCCCGACTCTTTATGCATGCATAACGAAAAGGAAGCAACGCGAAACCGCGCTCTGCCGGTTATTAACAGTACGTTCTAGTCGCAGTTTTATGTTTATGTCTGTTTCAACCCCGAAGAAAAGCGAACCAGCCATCGTGGCCATCGTAAATAAGAAAGCTCCGGCTGCTGCAGGTGGTGGATTCGTTTAATTAGTGTGCAATAAATAAAAGAACATCCTCCCGGTTCGTTTGAGAGCCCGATCGAACGGCAAAAACTGTACGCGGTTTCTGGTAAAAAAGCTTGGCTAACGAGGAAGTGTACTAGGGGTGCTTATGAGAAAGAAGTAATTCCCGGATATTTTTTTTTTTTTACTGTTCTGTTAATTATCGGTTTTCTACCTTATTGCAACGGTGGAAATTCTTCATGAAATATTAAACAACGTCGTAGAATTTCAACTTTATACCTGCAAATCATTTTTAAGCCAAGAGATATTCATCGTATTATTATGGTTCCTACCGCTATTTCTGTTACTCGGTAAGAGTGAAGCGGAGGGGATGACTCGTTCCTATTGGTCAGGCGCAGAATCTGCGTGACGGTTACCATAGAAACGTATGTAGACCGAGAGAAACCGATCACTCACGAATCTGTTGCACACTTGGTAATTATTGGCACGAAGCTCTGTTTTAACCTTCTTAACCGTCTTTTCTATTAAAGAAGAAAAACAGAAGAACATCTCTCGCTATCGTTTCACGTGATACGTAATTATAAATTCACGCGGGTTTTGCACTTCCTTGCGTGGCAATAAACAGCTTGCTAAGCACAGACGATCGTTACAAAAATAAAATGGAAACATGTTATCAGTTAATTGAGCCAAGGGGGAGATGAGTCACAACTTGCCTCTGGTGTTATTATCAAGCTTATAAACACCCGGAATTTTCTCTGAAAAATTTTTGATGCGTCCGCGTTCGGAAAAACGACGATGGAAAAGTGGAAAAGAGTAGAGATCTCAGGTGATAACCGGCCTATGATTGGTCTAAACGGTTAGACGATGGAATGTTGGCGAGTACGGTAACGATGATTAAGCGATTTAAGTCTCATTGGCGGCGCAGAGTTTCGTATCATTATAGACGATCCGTGAATCGATTCCGGAAAAGGACTCGTTCCACATGGATTGCGTAAGAATTTCCTGGTCACTGGTCAATGGGGCGTGTTCAGAAATGCATCAAGATCCGTTCGAAATGGACCAGTGCTTTCTCGTTTCGAGATCAATGTGTTCCTGTTAATTGATTAATCAACTTTTTATGCGAATCGTGTTTTTGATCAGTACCCACTGTGTATATGCAAGATGAATGGAATCGAGGTGAACGTTTCCTGGAAATTTCGTGGCACGCCGGAACCGATTACACTTGGTCAGTTTGGTTAATTAACCGTTAATTAGCATCATCCTTTTTTTGGTAATTTACTTGAGTATATTTGGAAGCATGTAAAATAATACATTATTGTTAATCTTGAAGGTTTTTATATAATAATTAGGCTTTGTCGAGGAGCTAATTAACTAATAAAAATCTGAGATTGTTTTGAGGTTAACGAACTGCCAACGAGGATTATATTTTTAATTGTACACTTGAGTATATGTATCAATTATTCAGAAATCCCCATGGAAGATTTCACGTAGTAACTAATTACCAATTAACCGGTAATTTTAGGCATCCTCGTGTTAATAAATTCATAAATGTTCGCATGCTCGATTGCAATCGAAGATCTAATAAGACGGCCCTCGATATATGCTCCAGGGGGAATATTTCGATTTTATCAGAACCATTTTGTTAATGGCCGATTAATAACCAATTAACATCGCATTTCCAAGTGAGCCAGTCGGTTAACGATCAGACAAGAACCATTACCGCGTTTCTTGGTCGACGCACGGGCATCAAGATACACTTCAGAAAAACGGCACCGTCATTACGACGAACATTTGCAACCACTTGCAACGAGCCTGCGGGACATCGCCGACCGACGGGCTGCATTAGCTTCGACGGAGTCCACCTTGCGTGTTGTCGCGAGTTTCGAGCTTGCTGTGGATAAATTCAATCGTCCTTTTCTCTTGCGAAACAGGACAGTGTCGCAAAATGATCGACATTGTACATTTCTCGGTGAATAGGGAGGATTTTTAAGAGAGAGCATCAACCTTGGTAGGACTGATATAGCAAAATGATATTATATGCCTAGATAATTTAAAGAAGTTCTATTTTATAGTCTATGAACTTCGAGAGTTTGAAATGTTTTACTATAAAGATCAATTGTAACCACATTCATTTCCAAAAATTTTGTAAAAATGTTGACTCGAACCTAAATACATACTCTACATAAAAAACTGAACAGTATTAAAATAAACACTTCCATTTCAAAATTACACAGTATTAAATAAACCGCCCAAATACACTTCACTTTCAAGTCGTATTAAAAAAAAAAAGTCATAAGGGTAAACGCATCTTTTCATTTCTTATAGCTGTATAATATAGCAACGTCCCTTTGACAGAAAGTACCCTTTCATTTTACCCAACGAATGTCTTTCGGTTCACCAAGAATGGCCACGCGAGAGAGAATCGATCCCGGGACCGATCCGCGGCGCAGTGCAGTAAAAGTGGCCTCGGGGTGCGGCCGGTCGGTCTCTCGCGGCACGCACGCAGTCCCTCGCAGAACGACACAACGCCGACCGACGTGACTGGAGCGCGCGCGCGTACTCGCCGGAACGGGGCCCCTTGGCGAGGCGTCGGGCCCCGACACGCCACACATATTAGAAACGAATATAAATATATCGGGAAGCGCAGCGGAGCCCGTGCGGTGTCGGGCGAGG